AACTTCAAAATAACTCAGGAAATTCTTGTGTCTGTAAGGGCTTTTAATTTCCCTTTGTCCAGTTTTAGAAATCTGACAATGTTCCAGTTTGGAACTTATTGTTTCCCAAGTAAATTTCTGCAGTTTACATAGCCACATGACTGAGCTGATAATTTAGATGCAGAGAAAGCTGCACCTTTAGGTGTTGCTAATGACTTATTCAGATTTGTTGGAGATAGCAACAAAAAACTACTGTATTGCATACTGTTGAAAGTCAGCTTTTTGCAAATCTTTGACTGCTTTTGTGTCCTGGGGCTTGTCACTAAGGTCAGAGAATGCATAGGTGTTTGTGAGGGTATGATGTTATCATTATCAACTGAGATACTTTCTAATCCAGTGTATGACATCTTAAAATTGAGAAAACCAAAATAAAATTGAAGTAAAAACTGTCCCCATACTGAAATTTTATAATCTTGCCAGACTATGCCAATGAGATTTAACAGAATGAAGAAAATATATAAATATTTGAACGTACGTCAGCAGGAACAACTATTGAAACTATACATTATTTATTTCTGTGTTTTACTGTGCTTTTTCAATATGCCATCCTTTTCAAGTCTACTTCAGATAACTAAGTAAAAATACACCTGGCAGGAGTATTTAAGCTATTGACTGTAATGCACACGGCACATTAAGCATGAACTAGATAGTAAATTATAGCTCCAAATACTTGGAAAAACAAAGATAACTGTGACGAAATTGCTTTTGAAGTCTCATTGAGTTCAGTGTATTGCAGTTACTCTGTCAGTCAGTCTGTGGGCAGTGCTCTGTCTGAAAACTACTGCATCAAATTCATTTTCCCAGACTGCAGGAACATAATAAAATACACAGCATATTACTCGTAAGTGCATTAGTGATGGACCTCCAACTTCTAAACCTGTTAAGCTGGAGTTTTCCTCTTACCTGGTAGCACAACTAATAGCAAAAATGATTTAGCCATATGCCATGAATACCAACTAGAATCAGCCTCAGACCAAAATTCCTAAGTTTTGCCTTGCATGTTTTGAAGTATATATTCTTTCTCATTTTTCTTTTCCTATTTCAATGCTCCTTTTCTTTGTATCTCAGTGATTTGTGTTCAGAAAGAGGCTTCACTGACTGCCTACCTAGACGCTATTTTTGCTTTGAGCCGATCAATACAGTGGATGTTCAGTAAAACAATCAAATATATTTTTAATTATAAGCCTTTAATTCACTCCTAATCAGAAGATAAATTATGGTTTCTTGAGATTTCATTTTGATCAGAGAACACCTAGTACATGACCGGTATGCACAACAACTGTAAAATCTTCACGGTTGACAATGCTTTGTACAGATTATTTTGAAGGATATTTGTAGATGTAACTTTTACCTAATGTTGTAGCACTGTCAGGGTATCACAACGCTCTGGGTATGGGATTCGTGATTTAGAATCAGAAGTCTGTTGTGGAAGGCTACACTTGTAAAGAGTTGAATTAGTTCCTCTCCTGCCCTTCTACATGCTTACAATAACTCCAGCAACTTTCTAAACTGTATTAGAAAACTTCCCAGGAAAGTAGAAACTGTGGAAATCAATATCTACTCAATATCTACCCCTTTCCATCACATATTCATTGGTCTACAGCCAACAACAGTGAATTGTGCTGCATTGTCAATGTTTTCTAGGTTTGTTTTGTTGTTTGTTTTTTGAAATTCTGAGTGGGTTTTTATAGAATCTCAGAGCAGATTATGTCTATACACATTTTATTTGGCTTCTAAAGAAGTGTCTCTTTTATCTTTTCCTAATTTAACATTACTTGCAAGAGGTGTAATAACTCCAGCTGTTTTATAAAAGGGAAATTACATATCACATATCCTTTGACAATGATAAGTCAAAGAAAAGAAGCAAATTGTGTGTCATATATTTATCAAATTAAAAAGTAGAGCATCAGGATGGGACTGATGTGAAATAGATAATGCTACCCCTTCAAGAGTTGTCCTGCACATAAGAACAATGGCAACTGTACAGTACAATTAATTTTCATTCTTAATTCACTGGAGAATAGCAATAGTATTTTTTTTTTTTTTTGTTTTTTAATTAATTTTCATTCTTAATTCACTGGAGAATAGCAATAGTATTTTTTTTTTTTTTGCTATGCTGTCATTATGTTGCAATTCTTTATTATAAAGATGACCTTTTAGAGTCCTGGGTATTGACACACAGGCAGCTATGTAAGCATCTCTGCAAAATTCCTCACAGATTTAAGGCTGTGAACAAGAGTTTTTGGACAAGCTCCATGATACCTCGGACAGTGGCAGAAAACAATTACAGTATCCCTCCTATTCCAAGACCTTTTTCCAGCAGGGCCTTAAATTTATTCCACATTGTGACTATATCCTAGGCGATCTAGGTTACAGAAAGGAACACTACTAAGATTTCTGCTATGGCTGCTTCTGTGCAGTAGTAAGTCCAGTGATGTGCAACTGCTGCCTTTTTAAAAACATGAGTCTGTGTGCAGTGAAATCAGGAAATGAACAGGAGCACGAGGATGTTATTCAGTCCACATGCCTTCTGGGAGTCAACAATGGCCACCATTGTCATTAATGTTGCTTGCAAGGAAATTTTTTCATATATAAATTCCAGACCACAATATGCAATTGCAAAAATGTTCCCGAACATCAGCTAGGATTGATGGTCTTCTTCAGATGCCACATCAGTTTGAAAACCTTAAATCCTCCACAATAGACTTGGGCTACTTGTCAGCAAAGGTAACTGTCTGCAGGGAAATAGGGATCTTTCTAACCTCTGGAGAAACTATTCTCTTCATTTTCCTTTAAACTGCGCTTTTCTATAACTTTCTTCCATGTTTTTGTTGGTGACATTAAAATGAAAGTTTACTTTCTTGAAGGCAAGAGATCTTGCAATTTTGGGAAAAGCTGCTTGAACTTATATAACTTTATAATGAATAAGAGTTAAAAAGTAGTTAAAAAACTTATAAATTAGTTAAAATATCTTTATCCTGTTGAAGCCAAGTTGAATCCAAGATTTCCTTTAATTTCATTAGGGACTCATTCAGGATGACGCAGAATAAAATTTGAACTAAATCTAAACATTGCTGGTGTGTGTACATTCACCTAGCCTTTTTTTAAAATTAGAATCTCATTACACAACTTTTCCTTAAAAATATTAAACTACTACTTGTCTGTAGTTGAGTGTTCTTAAAACTAGAACCTAAATCTCATTTTTATACTTACATATATAGATGTATGTATGTATCGTGCATCATAGATCCAACACTCTACTTTATGTTACTATTGAAAACAAACTTATTCTAAATCACTTATGCAGCAAATACCATCTGCCTCTTGATATGAAGGCACTGAATTATGTTTGAAAGAAACACATTAGATCCGTCCCATACCATGACCTCAACCTCTCCTCATACTTCCTCCCGTCAGGGCTCTTCACCATCTTCGATGCCCTCTTTTGGATGCTCTCTAATGGCTTAATATCTTTCCTATATTGCAGTGTCCAAAACTGCTCACAATATTCACGGTGAGGCCACTCCAGTGCAGAGCAGAGCGGGACAATCACCTCCTTCATCTGGCTGGTGATGCTGTGCCTGATGTCCCCCCACCAGGACACAGATGGCCCTCCTGGCTGCCAGGGCGACTCATATCCAACTTGCATTGTCCCTGTTCTCTTTACTGTTGAAATCACTTCTTGAAGGTGTCAGTCTCTTTGCTCTTGTGGTATTCTGGAGAGAAGGGTGAGTGTGTGTTATAGGTTTGAAAAAGAGATGTTGGAATTTTTTCCCAGTGTCGGTTGCCCCCCCCATCCGTTTCTCCGGGATGGGGGAGGCAGAAGGGGGACGGAGCGGGTCCGCACACACGGGGCAGCGTGGGGGCGGGGGGGAGGTTCCCTTTAAAAGCCGGCCAGCGAGACACCTCGGAAACGCCTTTGGCTGGAGGACTTGTTTGCCGTCCGACAGAGGGAGAGCCACTCTTGGTTTTTCGGCTGCCCCCTCCTCTTTCCTCCTGAGGAGAAGTTTTTTGTTTTTTCTTTCTCCTTTTTTTTCCCTCGCCGGACACCGTGTGGAGAACGACTGGGAGAGAGACCGATTATCTCGGAGCGAGGTGTTCTGCCCTGGACTGTGACAAATTTCCTGCGGCGACTGCCTGAGTACCGCACCGTAGCCCTGTGCCTGAGGGAAAAAGGGACTCTTTCCTGGCTGGCTGCGACGTCACTGGCTGCTCAGGTGGCTGCCGGGGACAGTTCGCTCTCAGCCCCCCCTCTTTTGCTGCGGGCTTCTTCCCCCACTGGGGAATTAGGACTTTGTTTAGTTTCTTTTGAAAGTTTTGGTTGCGCCATTATTGTTTATTTGGGTTTGTTTCTAAAGAGCCCTTATCTTCCTTTTCCACACTGTCACCTGAAGCCTTTTAATTTCAAAGTTGTAATCTTGTTAAACTAAGACAATGTGTCATCATATCCCTGTCATCATATCACAGTTATCATATTAGTATGGCCAGTCTTTGCAAGCGAAGATTTGGGAAAGGTCTTTACCCTTCGAGCCTGCACAATGGATTTTTTTAGGTGAGACACAGTGTGCGCTGAACTGAGCCCACCCTTTAATCCTAAGGTTCATCTGCCGGGGCCGAGCAAGCTTGGACAGTGGCAGCGAGGTCCTCAGGACGTAGGTTTGTTTAGAGTGACCTTCTCTTAGATGGATTGCCTTACAGGGCTGACGAGCTCCATCTGCCCAGGGGAGTTTCCCTGACCGGGAATCGAACCCGGGCCGCAGCGGTGAGAGTGCTGCATCCTAACCACTAGATCACCAGGGGTCCCCATAGTTATCATATAACTGTGATTTTATATCTCAAGTAGAACAGGATAAAAATACAGACTTTGGGATCTGATATTAAGCGGAAGAGGAGGAACAGATTTTAGTTACTGATGTTTATGGTCTTGAAAGACTTTAAATATGCTTTTTTTTGCTGTTCAGGGATTCAGAAGGAAGGGTGTCATTATTTGGGCTGGATGAATTCTCAAATCATGGTAAGGAAACTCATGTTTCTTTAAGAGTCTTTTGGTTGTCTTTTGTTATAGATTCACGAATAGGCTGAGCAGTTGTATTTGGAACTAAAATTAGACTTCCACCAGTGGAAAAGCAACTGGCTGACAAGGCAGTGATCATCTTAATCCTGGGCCTCTCACTTCAGTGACTTCCTAAAATGAAGGTCCAGGAAGGTTGCATGACACTTGAATGTAATCTGGTTTGATGAAATCTGATGACAGTCAAATTATCATGTTGTTCCAATTTAGGCAGGTGAAGAAAATTAAGGTCTTTCTTCTTTTGACTTCGCTTTGAATGACTTTTGCCAACACACAAGGTATTAATGTTGGAAGTGTGGAACTTCAGAGTGGATGAATTAGAGCTCACACAAAAGTAAGACACAATTTAATAAGTTTGTCAAGGACAAAAAGAACAAAAGAGAAGGCAGACTGTAATGCTACCAAGTAATTGTCTAAGAAACCTCAAGTTCTCAGATCTTTCAGAGAGACTGGTGTTAGAGACACTTCTTTTAACTTTGCAGCATCTGCAGTATGAATTAGTCCTACGAATAAATAATTAATACAATAGCTTTAGCGAGAATGCATGATCAACTGTGACTGGTGAACTCTTCCTCAATTATTAGGAGAGAGACAACTGCATGTTCATAATTTTCAGTTTAATTTTCAATTAAATCTGTAGCCTTTGATGACTTAATAGATGTTATGAGATGTTTTGAGACATCTGTTTGATAACAATTTTCAATAAATGTTTCACACAATTATAACAAACAACCTGCTTCGGAATGTTGTACAAGCCTGGAGGAGTCAGAGGGTTGACTCAATCCCTCCATCAAGGCAATTATATTGAGAACATATCTATAAAAGGAAGAAAAGAAGTTCTGTATACTTTATAAGAAAGTGTATTTCAAAAATTTTTAATTTTATGGGTGTTTAGCATGGATTCTCCTGGTACTATTACTGATCTGAGATGAACTGGAAACAGATGCACTGAAAGGTTAGCTGTGAGCAGTACAAACGAATGCAGCGTTTCACTGAGCTAACTGGAAAGGCTTGGTTCTGGTGCAGTGTGGTTTATTGCTACAGTGATGCATAATTCGACTAGGAAAAGACAGAGATGATATGTCTGCTTATAAATGTCTACGCAATGTAGAAAACACATGACCTTTAGCACTTTCTTAGTCCATGTTATAAGCAGCTCAGAATGCATATGTTATATATCATAGAGTAACTGGCAACTGTTTGGGAACTTTCATAAGTGGTAGAATATTCTTGACATTTTAGAGAAATACTGCTGCCTACTGTCCTATCTTAGGATGCCTGTGGAAGTATCTGCAATCTAGGACAAAACTTCACTTTCAAGAATCAGGAAAGACTGGATCAATGGTTTAATATTTGTGCTTGCCCTAGTGTTATAGGTTAGAAATCCAGGAGAATTTTTCTTCCCCCTGCCCCCACTGTAGGAAAGACGGAGTTTGAATGGAAAGAGAGGCGATTAGCGTTACAAAGGGTCTAGCCAGCCAAGCTGCATTCCTAACGAATGGCCCATCAGAGGCTGGGAGAAGGTAGAGAGGAGTTTTTGGGGGGTTGCTGGCACTCCTCAGAGGGGAGAGATCAGACTGCGGAGTTCTCTCTCTGGGACAGAGATGGGGGCCTTGCGTGTGTGCATTTGGAGAGGAGGCCTGGAGGCTGGGCTTTCTGGCTTCCCGCCCTGGTCAGCCCTGACTGCTGGCCTTGACTTGCAGGCAGGCTGTCTTTGTCTCCGGCCCGGACCTGCTGCGTTCTCATCGGAGAGTTTTTGTGCTCACTGGGAGAAGAAAGGAGGAGTCTTAGGACACCGTCATCTGAGGACAACAGTGAGTTCCGTGGGGGTGAACTGTTTTCCTTTCCCCCTTCTCCCATTGGGGAAGGGTCCCCATTCTCTTTTCGGCTTCTCCCGCGACCCGAGACCACCCCCCAGACCCCTCCCGTGTGGTACCGCCAGAGCCCGACAGCGCCCCCTGCAGGCCAACACCGAGCACTGCAGGCTCTGCACCTCCAGTGACCCAACATCGCCCCCTGCCGGCCGTGATTGGAACTGCGCTAAGGACAGAGAAGTGTTCAGACTTTTTCTTTTGTTTGAAGGGAACTTCTGGGTACAGGACTATTGTCTAGTTTTTTTGTGTTCTGTTACTGTTCTTGCCAACATATATATATCTTTTAATAAAGGGTTGTTTTTTTTCTTCTGTTTTTTTCCACATTTCCTTGATTAAAGCCCCTTAATTTTGAATTTACAATTGCTGAGAGAGAGGAGTTTGGTTTGTCTCATAACTCATCTTCTTTAGCAAACATTCCAGTCTCTTCAAACTGAGACACCTAGCCATATTGCTTTTTGTTGTACAGTAGGATAAAATCAGTTACTAAAGACAAAGCTTTCATGTAGTTGTATGTTTCATGCACTTTTATCAGCAATGTTTCTATGTAGTTTTTTATAATAGATATCATTAGTATGAGAGTTTGTAATGAAATATTGCTATGTGCTCTGTATTTTTGTGGTTACAAAATGTTTCAATAGCACATAAATAGCCAGTGATACCAAGCACATCATCTTAGAGGCCTTGCTAAACATTTATCAGACCTATTTGACTTGAAAGGAATGTTCACCCCTTTGAGTCTGCCAATAAAGAGATAACCGAACAGACATAGATTTTAACACAAGGTGAGTTAGAATCCCCTCATCACCTGTAGTTGATACTCTTTAGCTGGCATGAATCTTTGATAAAGCAAGTACAAAGCAGACGCATCACAGAAAATTCAGGGAGAAATACTTCAGGCAGAGGTTTTACATATCAGTTCATTATTTCTGTGAAACTGGGAATTATACTCTACCAAAAGACAAAGATTAATACAGTACTGCAGAGAAGCTTCAAACCAAATGACAAACCTGGATGGACCTTCATCTAGATTGCTGTGTGCCTGGCCTTCAAGTTCCAGAGCCTTATACCTATTGTATAAGGACACCTGAGCAGGTGATTAGGCTGGGAAGAGATTCGTCTGGCACCTGGAATATAGATCTAGTTCCATTGCTCCCCATGGGTGTCCTTCTGCCTGGTGCTGAGGCAGTAGGAGATACGGGATGACAGAAGAGATGGCTTATCAATCCTTACCCTTTTATTATTGCCAAAGTTCACTTTCAACATGCAAACATATTAAAGACATATTGAGGCTGCTAAACTACTGTGATGGAAAGCAATGGTAGCTGCCAAAGTCAAATAAATGCTTTTGCTATGCTTGAATGAATATAGCTTTTATTCAAGAAGTGAAATCATAGTTTGTTTATTGAATTCATAAATAGTTGATGTGTAAAGGAAAGAAAATGATTTGGACTGTTGCAGCTAACATTTTATTATCATGTGCAGAGGAGACATGAACAGAAGAGTCAGGAAGTTTTAAAAGAAAACTTTTTTTACTTAGAAATATTAAAAGGAGCAGGACTACTTTCCCCCGGTCCTGCTGCAGGATTCATTCTAGGTCTTTTTTCAATCCATGCTAGCAGAAATTATAACACTGACTCTTTAAAAAAGACATATTTTTCCTGAATTGTTTGCTTATAGGTATGTTAATAAAAACAGTATTAGCAGCTCCCACTCCATTCAGGTTTTTTCTCCAAGATATTTGAGCTGTTATAAGCATGCCAGTTCTCTATTTTTTCACAGAATCTGCAATAAAACCAAGGTAAAGCTATGTTAGCTGTTTTTCGCTATACTTTAATAAAGGAATCAAATCCTTTGAACATTTTCTGCTCACTGGAAGATCATAGCTAATACTCAGTTTTTATAGTGAGCAATGTGATAAATTCAGTCCTTGCTACTTATAACAATAGAGGTGGTGTAAAATTTCTCTTATACTCACAACAAAATGCTTCAGTACATTTGATTTTGTACACAATCTATTCTTTGCAAAAAGTTCAGGGATATGTCCAGATCTTTTAAAAATCATTTTAATAATTGGGAATGTCATCACTGATTCAAGGAACTGAATTAAAATAGTACTTAAGTATTATTCAAACATGTTTCAAGCTAGACAGATAGGTTAGATCCCTCTTCTTTGAAGATATATAGATAAAAATCTCACTTCCTTCAATTCTGCAAGGCACTTTGAGTAAATGGACTATAAGGTCATCAGCAAAAAGTTCCCGGTCTGCAGTTTTTAATTTTTCTTTCACATCCAGTGAAGTCTTCTTGATTTCCATTTTCTAGATATCAAGCGAAGTCCACAAACAGTTTATGCTGCTACATATCACTACTACCTTCATGGCAGGCTGAAATTTTTTATGGGCCTCTCTGTCATGGTTTGATCTTTTGCTCACAGCACCAGCAACAGCAGTGTGAAAAAGAAAGACTGAAGAAAATATGTGGAAAATTTGCCACCAGTAGGAGATGAGTCAGTTATAGAATTTAATATAAACTCTGGACTACCTGGTTTACCTGTTCATCATCTCTCATATTTACTCAAAATGTTGATAGGGTCAGAGTTCTATTCTCTTTATCTTGACTTGACAATTCTGATTGTTCCCTCAGTGCTCTTCTGGGAATTTTTTCCAAACTTCCACCATCTTCACATTTCTGCACATTGTGAGAAAACGGGGATACTCTCTAACAGAACAACAGTGAAGAGTCCAAGCAAGATTTATATCCTGACAAGCAAGTTTCTATCAGCTCAGTTTGCCTTGATTCTTAGAATTATGATTAAGAGAAGCAGCCTGACTCACTAAAAAATTGCAGTTGCCTAAACTCAGAAAATCCATCAGCAGAGCTCGTCAGCCACGTGGTAACTTCCAGAATACCAGTACTAGCCATGAATTCATAACAACCTTGACATTTTCAAGCAACTAAATAACTGGAGGAAATGTTTCATAGTCTCTCTGCTTGCTATTTGTCACAGGGAGAACTGAAGCTTTTGACAAAGTTTATTAAAGAAACCCTCCCACTGAGTCATGAGGTGCAGAAGAGACCCCCTTGCTTTCTAAAGTCCTTCTCAGAGAGAACCCAAAGTGCATCTGGATCCAGTTTTAACCCCATACTTAGTCCAGTGTTTATGATGAAAGAACTGTAGAGGTGTAGTTGAGCCTTTATATGATTTCATCCCACAGGATTAAGAGTGAAAACCCAAATATATTTATAGGAAAAAAGTAAATTATTGATTTAATTTGATTGTGAAAATGATCAGACTAAAAAACTTTAATCAAAATAATTTACACTAGGTGGTATACATAGTTATAACTACTAGTATGGTATACTGTTTATTAAATTAATGATTTAAAATCTAGAAAAATAATTATTAAGTAGAGATTTATGTTACTAACCCATACCAATGACCATGGGCAAATATCTTTCACTCAGCCTCAAGGGCTAACCTTGAGGGGCATCTTCACTCTAGTGAGGAATGTCTGTACGCACACTCCCAGAAGGGGTGTGTTAGAAGACTCTAGTGTTAAAAAGTGGGGCTGGGATTTTATTTATTTTTTCTTTATGCATTATGCTCCCAACTGATAAGGCATGAACTGGATCCTTAGAGATTTTTTCTTGATGTGCTGATAGCAAAGGTATTAGCGCTTTATTTGGGTAACAATTCCAATGGACAATGGTCTACATGAACACAAACCTTCTTACTGGTGCTGAAAATGTAGGATGGCAGTTTGACCTAGATCTCTTGGTACAAGAATAATTTTATTTTTTATTTGCAAATTTACATTAAATTGTTGTTAGCATTGATAAGGGAAGTCACTGAATTCTGCAGTGAGATATTTGGGTGTGGCCAGTTTTGCTGCAGTCACTGCAGTGATTACTGACTTCATTCATCCTACCCCATTTTTCCTTTTTATTCACAGTATTATTATATCTATAAACATAATAAGTATTAATATAGTCAATATATTAATAAATAAATATGAAACTAAATATATGTATACATATTTTATGTATAAGAACATATAATTATATACATTATATTAATACTTAATTATATAATGATAATTATGGATGGCAGGAGTTCAGGAACACATGGAGACAATCAATGTGATCAGACAATGTTCAATTTATTATATAAATGAGTTAGCTTTTATACAGTTAGTTTTTTCTGGGTACGTGATCACAACAAGGTGATTGGATAGCTCAGTCTGTGCATGCGTCTCATGCCTTCAGTTCATTTGTTCTGATGCTCTGTCCATGCGACCTGACATCATTCGTGCCACCCAAAGTCCCTCTTATCGATCCGCCTTTAGGGGCTTTCCGAGATTTTCCAGGTGTCCCTTTATCTCCAGTTTCTCACAACTTTCAACTATAAACACATGATTTTCTCATACCTTACAACTATAAACATACAGTTTTCACACAGCTAACAACTATAAACATGCATATTTTCACACAGTTTGCAAGTATAAACACACAGAATTTTCACAGAGCTTGCAACGTCCAAAGTTATGTCAAGCGAGGCCTAGTGCTTCTTAAAAAGATGGATTGTTCTGTAGAGTATTTCCATTTTCCTGCAAATACTCTACAGATAATAATAATAATTATTAAATTATTATTATTATTATTATTATTATTGTTGTTATTATTATTATTATTATTATTATTATTATTATTATTATTATTATTATTGATTTGGACTTCTAGTTTTTCTAAAACATTCTGAGCTTCTCCTTGCACTAGCACATTTTTAGCCATCAGTGGAGAGTAAAAACCCATAATTGTTCAGGACGGACAGCCTAAATGTTACAGAAAACCAATTTATCATTCACAGGGAAAATGAAGAAATAGAAGGAAGTTCTTCTGGGTTCTCTTGAGGATCCACAGAAAAGAATATCCAGTCAGAGAAGGAATTGACTGGAAGTCGAACACTTGAATTTAGCACAGAAAACATATTGTCTCTGTGCACACTGACTGCAGAGAGGTTCATTTACTTGTTAGA